CTTAGATCTCTGGCATAGGGGAGGTATGATACACACTGGAGTTTATAAGTAGGAAGTACTTCCCAAGGAAGCATGGATACCAAACAAGTTAAGTTAGGACAGAAAAAGCCTAGACACCCAGTAATTGGAATATCAAGATCAAAGTAGAACCAGAATGGAGACTGGGTCATTGTTAAGGAGAAGCAGGCCAATTACAGGACAGGGCTTTAAGATGTATTAGTGGACTAACTCTAATAAGTTAAAATAAATAAATACAAGAAATAAATTCTATGATTGGCAGCTGAGGAAATGTTCAATATCTTTTTTAAAAATGTTTGATCTGTAAGTAAGAAATGTTGTAATCTTTAAATGTAAGAGAGAGATTTTTAAGAATTTTGCCTTAAGAATTTGGATTCGGGACTTCCGGTAAGAAGGAGGAATAGGCAGACAAGCGACACAGACCCTCTTCAACAAAGAAAAGAAAAACCAATTGACAGAGATACAAAAGATAATCCTGGAACCCTGAGCTTTGAAAGGAACTATACAGAAGTGGATTAGGCACCAACTAGTGGAAAAACCTGAATGAAAACAGTGAGTACAGAGACGGTTGGAGCTGCGGATGACTGTCAGCTACTCTGACGAGACCAACAGCCTGAATATTTCCAAGTGGTGGTGGGACCTGAGAATTGACCTAAAGATCAGTCCCAGTCACCAACAGCTCCAGGGACAACTGCTTTGGTGGCCTATGACTAGGAAGAGAAACAGCAAGGAGGGAGACAACCTGAGCTGTGGACTTTCTGCTCTCTGGAGGGTACAGCCATTTTGATTGTTTACACATGGCAGCCATTTTGTATATTTAAAGTGACCGAGGGCACAGCCATTTGGAATGTTTATAAGCGGTGGCCATTTTGGATATTTAAAGTGACCGAGGGTGCAGCCATTTTGAATGTTTACAAGTGGCAGCCATTTTGGATTTTAAAGTGATAGCATTCTCATTCAGATTCCAGGGACCTAAGAACAGGCTCTGTTTTCCAGGGTCAGCAAAGACATACAAGAGGCTGACAACAGGAAAGGAGACAAGTAGTGAGTGTATAAGTGCTGTCAACTAGTGAATAGAGAAGCACAGCATAGTACCCCTCCTGTATAGATAACATACAAACAAAACAAAGAAAACAAAAATTGTGGGCAAGTCACTCCAACATATAATCACCAGTTAAATATAAACACAAAAACGTCACAATGCCTCAGAGACAACAGAGCATCACAGTCCACACAAAGAAACAAGATAAAGCAGGAGAAACAAGGGACCAGGATACAGACCCAAAACACATCCCTGAGGAAGACACAGCATTGGAACTCCCTGATAAGGAATTCAAAAGATTATAT